GGTATCCCATCCATTGACAGGACATGGTGTAGCACAGAGACCAGTACGGATAATGCGGCCCCTGGTGCTCAGCTGCCTGACTTCACCAAAAGAGACTCCCTATTACTTGGTTTCAGACCCTGGAAGTCTTTTGAAAGAAAATACATCCAACTTTAAATAGAATTTTTTTTTAAAAAACATCAAAAGCAAATATGAACAATTTGGGAGATTATCAACTAGTGCCAATAAAAATCTCTTTAAGGTAGCACACATACAAATCATTATTTTTAAAAAAGATATTTATAAAGACTAGAAAAGAAAGTCTCCAAATCACTATCTAAAAGGTTTTTTCAGGCCAGGCGTGGTGGCTCACACCTGTAGTCCCAGCACTTTGGGAGGCCAAGGCAGGAGTAGCACTTGAGGCCAGGAGTTTGAGACCAGCCTGGCCAACACAGCAAAACCCCATCTCCACTAAAAATACAAAAATTAGGCGGAGGCTGCAGTGAGCCCAGATCATGCCAGTGCACTCCAGCCTGGGCGACAGAGTGAGAGCCTGTTTTAAAAAAAAAAAAGTTTTTCCACATATACTTTATGTTATATACACACCCCTGTCACCAGCAAAGTATTTGCCATGTGCTTGAATTAACCTTCATGTCTTCTGATTATAAAATGTTAACTGTGTTGATACTCACTTGGATCTTCTTACACACCATGACTCTTCTAGAATGTAATAGTTCACTTTTAACTTTATCAGTTCTCGCTTCACTTCTTCAGCTGCTTTCCGACTCTACATTGAGTATACTATTTTCGTTCTGGCTCTTTAAAGAAAAATAATTAGGCACAAAATTTTCAAGATTAAAATGATATAATCAACACATTTGGAAGAAAGCACTGAATTAGACTAGACGACGAGGAAGAGGAATCCAGTCAGGAGGAAATTCCCCATGGAAGTTCCGGCTAACGGGCATCAGTGAGGTCAAAAGCAGAAGGCAGAAGGAGGCCAAGTCGTGGGAGATGAGGGTCACCTTTAACGCAACCCTACATTTCCAAACTTGGTCATCTTTGTGTTTGTTCACCTATTTATTTGTCTTAAATTCTTCACTGCTCCATCACATGTAAGAGTGAGGTACCCTGTGTGTGAACAGGGATGAACTATAGCAAACACAACTACAGGACTACTCTGAAGCTGCCACAGTCCCAACTTTGACATCAACAGTAATTCACATTAAACGGTTTTTGATTTTATTTCTTTTTTTTTTTTTTTTTTTTTGAGACTGAGTCTGGCTCTGTCCCAGGTGAGTCAGTGGCGATCTCAGCTCACTGCAAGCTCCCTCCGGTTTACGCCATTCTCTGCCTCAGCCTCTGAGTAGCTGGACACAGGCGCCGCCACTTCGCCTGGCTAGTTTTTTTGTATTTTTTAGAGATGGGTTTCACCGTGTTAGCAGGATGGTCTCGATTCCTACTCGTGATCCCCGTCTCGGCTCCAAAGTGCTGGGATTACAGGCTTGAGCCACCGCGCCCGGCGATTTTATTTCTAGACTTAAGAAAAACTAAACTTATTTAACAAAATTGGTCTGGAAATTAGCTTGATGAGATTTTTTAATGAAAAAGCTTATTTGTAAATGTACATGCCATTGTTATGCAAAAGAAGATGCTAATAAGATTCACCTAATCACTGAGAAAATGAATAGCTTCACCTGCCTTAGAAACTGCATGAAAAATTAAATTAAAAAAATAATTTAGACAACACGTCTCTAAATTATTTTCTAAAGTCTCAAAAAAATCTAAAAAAACAGAAAACACCCAGGATCATTCTAACAGGCTATACTGGTGAAAACCAGAATAAACTCCTCTTTGAATGGGATTGTATTTCAAATGACTTCTCCAAAATCAAGAAGAATCACCTATGAGAAAACCTTAATAAACACTGTAAGCTAAACTCTTCAGGGAGTTACAGGATGAAAAGAACTTGGACATTTTAGAGCCCTGTTAACCTGTGGGAAAGTGCTATAGTATGACTTCCTTTTTCTGCCTGGTAGAGAAGATGGCCCCCAAAGTTGTTGCTTTCCTGCCCTGTGAAGCCTTAACGGATTTGTTTAGAGCTTAGCAGTCTTATTTCAGCCTTCTGCTCTCCGACGCGATAAGCCTCAGTTCATCATATCCTTTTGGAACATTCCTCATTCCTTTGCTGGCGTCCTCCACTCACTGTCTGTTTGCATGGAAGGTTTGTTTTGATGATGCAAGACTGTGCACTGACCTCAAGCCTGCGTCTTCATAATGTGGATGATTCACAATGGGCCGAAGTGCAGAGAGCTTAACACTTGCCATCGTGGGCATGGCACCCGCAAACACTGCATCTGGAAAGCAAGAGGAAGGTCTCAGGAAGACACTCAGTGAGGGTGAGAAGGGGTCTCCTTCAAGTTTAAATCAATTATTTCACAGGTAACAGAGCGGAGGCCCAGCAGGTTCATGACTTCAAGATTCAATGGCAGAGCTAGAATGAAGTCAGATGGTTGATAAAGTAGCAGTTGGCAGCCAGGTCTGGGAAAACTATTTTCCTTGGAAAATAGAACTTCATCATCTTATCATTAAAGATTTCTTTCTTTCTTTAAAGAAAAAAATCTTAGAAATCTTTCCTGAATCTAGAAAAGAAGTATCAAATGGACTAGGAAAGCTTTATAGTAACAAGGAATTCTGGAAGATGATTTAGTATTCAATCATTTGACACTCAGATGACAACAAAGACTCCCTTTCCACACATGAGTAAAATATCACATTCCATGAGTGAGTTTATTTCAAGAAGGAATGTGAAGGACTAATATTAAAAATTCATTAAGAAAATAAGCACAGTAAAAATTATTTTATTCCATGAGTGAGTTTATTTCAAGAAGGAATGTGAAGGACTAATATTAAAAATTCATTAAGAAAATAAACACAGTAAAAATTATTTTATTCCATGAGTGAGTTTATTTCAAGAAGGAATGTGAAGGACTAATATTAAAAATTCATTAAGAAAATAAACACAGTAAAAATTATTTTATTTCATGAGTGAGTTTATTTCAAGAAGGAATGTGAAGGACTAATATTAAAAATTCATTAAGAAAATAAGCACAGTAAAAACTATTTTAAATGTGGCATTTATGACTGTGAATAAATTTTGAAAAAATTAAAATCTATAAAAAATGGCAGAATAAATTACTAAGAACATATGTATAACATTTCCCCTGCAAACCATTTAAACAGGATTGATATCTCCTTTGTTTTAGATATTCTAAAAGCAACATTGCTTAGAAAGAGTAAGATCAGCGGAAATAACTAGGGTTTAAGAGTTTGCAGTGGTATACAAAATTGTGGGAAAAACAGCTAAAAAATACGACTTTTTTTTTTTTAAACCTGGTTTAGTACTATATTTGATCCACTCTATAAGTTCTTCTTGTGGCAAATTGCTGAACTCCCCTACAATATTCCACTGGGTTTGTGGATTTGCTGAACCTTGTATTGACATTGCTGCTAATATAGCAAAAACAACAGCACCATGATGTACTTTGCAAAAGAGCCATCCAAATAGCTGAAACCGAATTAAGAATACATTGGTAATTGTTAGTATAAAGTAGTATGCAATGTTATGCAAAACTTCTTCCCAGAGAAGAATGTGGCCTCTGCTAGAGTCCCAAAAAAAGGATTAATTATCCTAAAGAAAAAGCCCCAAAATAATAATCTTTGGGATCAAAAGAATTCTACCATCAGCCTCATGTAAGTGGAACACAATGTAGGAAGTTCTTTTCTCAACCTGCTTTCTCTACTCCCAGATTCAAGTAAAGCCACAACCACCTATGCAATTTACAAGGCCCAGTGCAAAACAAAAATGTGAGGTCTCTTGTTAAAAAATTATTAAGACGTTCAAAACAGCAGCAGCAAACATTCAACCAAGTTCAGGGTCCTTCTGAATGCGAGGTCCTGTGTGACCAGCAGGAACCCCACATTTGCAAAACCTGCCCTGGGTGACACTTTCTATTAGATCGGTGCAAAAGTAATTGCGGGTTTTGCTATTTTAATGAAAAAACCCGCAATTACTTTTGCACCAACCTATATCATCAGTCATGCTGTGGGATAAAGATTCAAGATTAAAGGCTTCCAACCAGCCTCCTCTCCTGTGCCAGCCTGAAGGGGTCAGAAAGGAGGAAAGTAGTGCCTTTCTAATATAATCAACATTCTGCTTGGGAACCTCGAGGCTGGCTACTTTTTTCCACATTCAAATAGTCCACACTCCATAGCAACACTTTGTTCTCTTGATCTTTCTCTGCGTGTCTACAGAGCTAGATTTCAAGGTTTTTGAGGGCTTACAAACACTGGCTTTTGACTTTTCTGTCCACTACTGTATCCTCCATCCCCAGAGTGCACAGTGTAGGTGCTTAGTGACTATCTGCTATGTTTAAGGGAGGTGCTGCTGTTGTACGTAGGCTGGTTGACTGATGGAAAGGTGACACTATGAAGAAGCATCAGTTTGTGAATACAGAGCAAGGAGGCAGTTATCCAGGAAAAATTAGCAGCAAACCCCCAAGGAAGGCTTAAACTAAATTTTAAAACGCACAAGTCAAGAATGTGCACCAAATGTGTACCAAATGAAAAAAAAAGTTTAAGTTTGACACTAAAAAAAGACCATATAATTTTCAAGCACTTATAACTTGACATTGTTAGAATTCTTCGTGATATGAATGTCAAAACAAAAAAAGTTATTATTTGTACAATTAAGCTCTGCTTTCTATCAGCACCTGCAGTAACCACTCATGAACTCAGTCTGTACTAAATCAGTGTTTGTTGTACACCAACAGCTATTTTAAAGTCTTTAGAAAGATAGAAATTGATCAGCTTTGGCCCTTACCCTTTAAGAAAGATAAGTACAAAACAATGAAGAGCTTTAACTATAATCACTTAAAAGACTTTGTAATTCATTATTTTAGGGCCACTCAATAATAAAGGCTAAAATTATTACAGTAGCTATACTCCAACATAACATGTTACCTGTCTTGAGCAGATCAGTGATGCCATAACACACATGTGTGGTGTCAAGAAGAGTTTTAGTCTCATAATTAAAATACCAAGGGCTGTATATGCTAACAATTGCAAAGCATGATAAACCAGCTGAAAGAAAGAAGAAAAAATGTTTTACTCCTACTGTTAGTGAAGTTGAAGAATACTAAGCTGGCAATATGTAGAAAGGGGTACGTTCTCCTTAGTAACAAAAAGTACTACTACTACTTTGGTTTCTAAAATTTACAAAACAATTCTTAAAATTCACTTTCAAACTGTTCCATTTTAGTGGAAGGCTAAAATTATCAAGTCATTAAGGCAAGTGCTTCTGTGATTCTCAGAGTCAAACCTGTGGTTAATAAAGCCCACATTTTTGAATCTACCTGGATGCTACCATCAGACCAAGAAAAGACAGTGGTAAAAGAAATGACTGCTGCCTCAAGATCTGAGGGCTCCATTTTGGAACCGCCCTCAAAACCAGACTGGACCACTAGGAGATGGGAGCAGTAACCAATCACATCTCTGAGGCCTCCAGCAAAGTGAGCAGAGAGGAAAGTGATTTCCAGTCATGCAATAGACACCTCACCTATATATCTAAATGGGCTCCAGAAATCAACTGCCATTAGCGTAAAGATGATCAGAGCAGAACAAATGAGTTTCCTAGTTAATTTTAACAAATGAATGATCAGTGAATCTGCATGTAGCATTCTCATAAAAACACATACCAGGCTATTTTCAAGATGATTGCTGACAATTGCTAACAAAGTTAGAAACTGGAACTAGAAAGGAAAGTCCAAATGCATGCAACTTTAAGATAAGTAAAATAATAGTGATATTAAGTCTTTACCTCTCCATGATCAAACTGGTGTTTTCTGGAACAGAAAACAATATATTGCTACCAATTCATTATTGAAGCACTTACTTCATATATTTGCATTTCAGCTTGCAAATAGGAGTTTACAACTTCTATAACATTCTCTCAGGACACATAGAGGCAAATCAAAATAACTAAAAGTCACATGCCAAAACTAGTGCTATATTCTTTTAAGAAAGTTAATGAAGAAGGACAATGTTGTATTATATCCTAACTATTTGCCTAGATGGGTATTTATTAGGACAACAAAGGCACACTGTGGTGTCTCAGCTCCCTCACTGGTGATACCCCAGCAAAGCATGGAATGAAAAACACCTTTGAGATTTTCACTAGGCAACCAAGTAGGGATGACAAATAGGTGGTTATATGTGTAAATCTCAGTTAAAGGGAGAAGTCTGGGTCAGAGACGGGAATGTGTGAGTTGACAATACACACCTTCTCTTTCTTAAGCACGGATATGTTCCCAAGACCTAGAGTAATACCTGACACTTAGAGCTCAACATTTTTAATGAATGAACAAGTGTATCAATTAACTGTTAATCCAGGTAGCATATAATCTAATTTGAGAACTTGGCCTCAAAATATATTAGCAAACTCAGGACACATAAGGGGGTAGTAAAGGAGATGAAACAGTTCTTTCTTTATTCTTCTTTCACACCAAGTAAAAACCATCAGTTACCATTTGTTGAGTACTTATAATGTTAATATGCTTAGCACATTCCATTAACTCTAATCCTACAACCATTTATTACCCCAATTTACAGCCAAGGAAAGGGAATCACAGAGCTACTAAGTGGCAGCCAGGACTATATTCTGACTGACTTCAGAACCAATATACTTTTTACTACATCATGCTGCCTCTATCCCACTTTACTTCCTGGGTCTTTGAGTAAAGAGAATATTGGCATTCACATCTTTCATAGTTAAAATTTATGTCCTACTCTTCCCCTTTTTACACGGGCTTTGGTAGTTATGCAAAATAAAATGTCAGCATGCCACTCCTCTTCCAAAAAAGAGCTCTGATCCTATTTGAACTGAAAACCCCATGAAACTCAATGGTTCCCTATAATTGTTTCCACAGGTGAGTTATTATTCTTGAAGGGACAGCTTTGTTTCTGTGAAAAGTTCTACCTTCCTCTTCCAGAGTTGCATACTAGAGCTGAAACTTCGTAGCTTCTTCCTCAGCTCTTCAAAAATAATTGCACCTCAAATGAAGAAAAATTTTGGCATTGTAAACCAGAACCTTTTCTTTCCCCCTTAGTCCTCAACTCAAATGTTACAGGTATAAACAAAGGCATAGTTACAGCAAATTGTTTCTAAATGAGAACAAGGATTCTCTCAGGAGTATGTGCAATAATTTATCATTATGTTGGCAGAGACTTGGAGGTGAGGGAATAATATAAGGGTGTGTATATTCAAATTATAAAAGAAAATATAGGGCCAGGTGCAGTGGCTAATCCTAGCACTTTGGGAGGCTGAGGCAGGCAGATCATGAGGTCACGAGTTCAAGACCAGCCTGGCCAATATGGTGAAACCCCATCTCTACTAAAAATACACAAATTAGCCAGGCATGGTGGTGGTTGCCTGTAGTCTTAGCTATTCAGGAGACTGAGACAGACAAAATGCCTGAACCCGGGTAGCGGAGGTTGCAGTGAGCCGAGATTGTGCCACTGCACTCCTCCAACCTGGGCAACAGAGTGATGCTTGCTCAAAAAAAAAGAAAAAAAGAAAGAAAAGAAAATATAGATACATACATTCGACAATCCTTGTCCCCCCAAAATCCCACAAAAGAATAAAAGTAGAGTTAAAAGTACCTTCACTCCATCCTCCAATCCCACACTCTTAATAATTACAGGATTTATCTTTCCAGATCACTTCTATGCACAAACACACAAAAATCTCCAAATTTTAAACAGAAGTATATTCATCCTATACACACACACACTGGCAATTTTTAAAATTCAATAATGTATACTGGACCTATTTCCATAAAGATGGCCTAACATTCCACTCTATGATTGGATCATAGGAGATATTTTGGATGTTTCCATTTCTCACATTACACACAGTACTACCAAAGGCATTTCTCCCCATCATCTCTGTATTTCTGTGAGCATCTCTAGAGGGTATACTTGCACTGGTGGAACTGCAGGGCTGAAGGGCAGGCCCACTACATGTTTTACTGTGTACTGCCAAACTTCCCTCCCATCCACTACCTCCCACTCTTGCAAGCATTGGATATACTATTAATTTTTAGAAATATGAGAAGTGAAAAGGTCTTCACTTTAACCTGAATGTCTTTACCATAGGATCAAGACTACCTTTTCACGTTCATTAGTCATATGTAAATACTCACTCATTCAACTACTATTTTCTACTATCTTGCAGGCACTGTATATAAACTGTTGAACAAAAATGGTCGCTCCCTTCAGGAGACACAGGTCACACATCAACATTTAAGTACAAAGGGTGATAAACGGAAAGAGTAAGATAAAGGGTGTGATGGAGGAAAATACCAAGCATGCTATAGGCCTCTCTAACTCTCAGATTGTAAACATACTCTCTTGGTTAATTTTGGGGTTTTATTTTTTTCCTATACCTAATTTGCTGCTTCATCTGAAATTTATTTTCTGTGAAAAGTGAGAAGTATGAATCCAGTTTTATATTTCCCTGCTCATTTCCCAAAAGGCAGTCCACTGGTCCTAAAACCACTCACATAATAATTTACTTTCCCTGCTGAACTTAAGTACAAAACTGCATCCTTCGAGTGTAGATTATGGGGAGGGCTACTGTCAGATTGTACTGGATGACATCTGAAGGATGAATAAGTGATGTGCTATGTTCTACACAGATAGGAAATAAGAAGAAACGCCAAGAAGGGAATGGACCACAAAAAAAAAATTATCAAATATTAGGTACACAACATGTAAGTATAAAATTAATACATTGTAAATATCTATTTAATAAATGAACAGAGGAGGTAATAAAATTCTTGAGAGCATATTTACCTTACATGTGTCTGTTGTTTAGCTAAGACACCCCACGTATCACTAAAAAGCTGTAAATAGATTTTGAAACACTTTAGAAAGGCTGTGTTGGGAAAAATGATATTTTAAAGTATCTTCTAAACTGTAAAACTTTTAATGAAAAATATAAGTATAGAGATGAGGTAACTCAGAAAATAATAATTACAACAACATAATCTTGTATTTGTGTAGTATCCAATCAAAGTCAATATTCAACAGCTCTGTTGGGTAGATGATATCATCCTCATTTTGTAAATGAGCAACAAGCTCAGATGGATTAAATGATCGCCCTGTAGGCAGACAACCACTAAGAAGCACTGCAGTCTTGAAACCAGATCTTCTGGCTGCAAATTCACATTCAGTGCTGCTTCCACCATGCCAACGTTGTTGGCAACACCTCTTCTTAACAGTACACACAGAAAACTGGAGAGTTGGCTCAAAGGTTGATAATCACCGCTAGAAGCATTCAAAACACAGTCACTGTGCTTTCATACTTAGCAATAACGGGAGGTCATCTAATCTAAAATCCTATCTCCAGTAAAACATTCTCTACGACACTGCTGACAGGTTGTAATCCAGCCCTTAGAAGAACCACTCAGCTGCTGCTTGAATCTATAGCACTTTCCTTATCCGTCGAGATCAGTTCTGGTCAAAAGTCCTACCACCTGGAATTGGCCATGATTCTAAGGAGCCAGATTGTGTGTAACCTTATTTTCAAGGGGCAGGCTTTTAACACATTTCAAAATAATTATCCGCTTTCCATCTGAATCTTTTCTTCTTTAAATGAAACAGCTCAGCTAATGGTTTTCATCATCTCTCACCACTCAGGTTGCTGTCTTTTGCATATGTTCTGGATGGCCAAAGCTTAGTATTTTTTGAGTACCCACTAGGTGCAAATCCATATAAAGTGTATAAAAGTGCAAAGCACACACAAAGCCTAGCACACAGCAGGAACTATTTTTTTTTTTTTTTTTTTTTTTAGACGGAGTCTTGCCCTGTTGCCCGGGCTGGAGTGCAGTGGTACGATCTTGGCTCACTGCAAGCTCTGCCTCCTGGGTTCATGCCATTCTCTTGCCTCAGCCTCCCAAGTAGCTGGGACTACAGGTGCCTGCCACCACGCCTGGCTAATTTTTTGTATTTTTAGTAGAGACAGGGTTTCTACCAGTTCCCTACCCTAACATGTGCGGATTAAAAATTCCACATGAGGCTGGACACAGTGGCTCAAGCCTGTAATCCCAGCACTTTGGGAGACAGAGGTGGGCGGATCACGAGGTCAGGAGATCGAGACCATCCTGGCTAGCATGGTGAAAACTAATGTGAGATCACTGGGGGGGGGGGGGAGTCAAAAATAAAGAGTTGAAAAGAGAAAGTAAGCACCTCTTAGAGCTAACCATTTTTAATATTTTGGTGATTGGCCAGGCACAGTGGTTCACGCCTGTAATCCCAGCACTTTGGGAGGCCAAGGTGGGTGGATCACGAGGTCAGGAGTTCAAGACCAGCCTGGCCAACATAGTGAAACCCCGTCCCTACTAAAAATACAAAAATTAGCTGGGCATGGTGGCAAACGCCTGTAGTCCCAGCTACTTGGGAGTCTGAGGCAGGAGAATTGCTTGAACCCAGGAGGTGGAGGCTGCAGTGAGTCAAGATAGCACCACTGCACTCCAGCCTGGTGACAGAGCGAAATTTCGTCTCAAAATAAATACATAAATAAATACATAAGTAAGATTACTTTTTAATATGTGGGAAGAGTCTTGTGTTTTCAAGACCAATATGACAAGTATTCCAATCCTACTAACACTCCTGAAACTTTTATAAGCATACCACTTATGAGCAGATAAGGATTGCTGATCAATCAGATAATTCAATGACAACCAAAAGATGGGAGTTCTTCATTAGATGTCAAAGTAGACAAGTGGTATTTGTTTGACTCAACCTTCTTTGCTTTAGGAAATCACCTCTTTCCATGTGGGCTTGAGGGATCTGTCAATCATATTGCCTCACCCTCTTGGCAGATATGGAATGCCACTCAACTCAGGTGGGCCACTCAGAATAGGCCCCAACCCTCAGTCTTCAGAGCAGGCCCACATTGTCACTCCATCCTGAGGGTGGGTGGTGATGGGGTCTGTAGGAGCTGGACGATGGTCGTGATCAAGAAATCCATTGAATAGATACTGTTATCATCCCTGCTAGATGAGAGGAAACTGGGCTCAGTGAAGGACAGTAACTTGCCTGAGTGTTCAGCGCCAGACTCAGATTTTGAATCTAGTTCTTTCTGACTCCAGAACCTTGTTCTTCACCAGTGTGAAGCACTCACGCTGGACTCACACCAGATCTTCTCCCCTCCTGCCCCAGGGAGAGCAACAGCAGACTCAGCCCTGGCAAGACGGGGCTCTGGCTTGAGAGGGATCTGGGGTCCCCAATGAGAGCCCTGGCACCAGGCACAGGGCCACCTGCAGCACAGGGGAGCCTCCGCACAGCAGCCTCTCCTCCCCACCATGTTGATATCAACCTCAGTTTCCTTGCTTAGCTCTTTCATTTCCTGCTGACTAGAGCCCTATTCTGAATGCATGCCCAGCCCCCCAGCCCCGATCTCCTCCTTAACTACTGTGGGGGAAAAAAAAAAGTCAATATATTAATTTAATCGAGTGAAATGAGTGTTCATTTACAAAACCAGCCATGCAATCTGCTAGTCAGAATGAAGTGTATTGAAACAAACACATACGAACACTCTCCAGAAGAAAGGAAGGGGACAGCACGCCTCTCCGGGAGGCATTGTGTTGCCAGGAAACCCACACACGGAGTCTGAGCTAAGCCACTCTGGGAGTCCAAATATGTCATAATCTGCTCCCCAGCACTCACAAAATCATATTTTCATTATGAACAGAATACGTGTTTATTATAGAAAGTCAACTGAGAAAGGAATAAAGAAGAAAAACCTCTATCATCCTACAACTCAGATATATGCGCATGTGTGAGTGTGTGTGTGTTCACAGAATCGGAGTTATACAATTATTATATACTACAAAGTATATTGCATATATATTTACAAAATCGGACACACTCTTAGCTACCTTTTGTGAAGTCATTTTTAATATTTGGATAGTTGTATTGTTTTTATTGTTTTGTGTAGATCAATATTTTCCAAATTTGGCCGTGCTTCACAATTGTCTGGGGAGTTGAAACATTTTTGCAAATTCCTGGGCTCTTTCCTACATGTTATTGCATCAGAATTTCTAGGTTTACAAGTCTGCCTTCTTCGCTGGGCACGGTGGCTTACACCTGAAATCCCAGCACTTTGGGAGGCTGAGATGGGTGGATCACTTGAGGTCAGGAGTTCGAGACCAGCCTGGCCAACATGGTGAAACCCCATCTCTACTAAAAATATGAAAAATTAGCCAGGTATGGTGGAGGTCGCCTGTAATCCCAGCCACTAGGGAGGCTGAGACAAAAGAATTGCTTGAACCCAAGAGGTGGAGGTTGCAGTGAGCCAAGGTCGCACCATTGCACTCCAGCCTGGGCAACAATAGTAAAACTCTGTCTCTCAAAAAAGAAAAAAGAAAAAAAGAAGAAAGAAGAAGTCTGCCTTCTTATAGCCCTCCCTGGTGATTCTGAAGCAGCCCATCCTGCTGTGACCCATTTTTGGAACCAACGGTGTCCATGTGCCCTGGTAAGCAGTGAGAAGTGGCAGCAGGCACAGGGCCACCTGCAGCACAGGGTGAGAGCTGTCATCTTGGAAGAGCCCAGGAAGGTACACCCGGCCAAATACCCTTCCAGTTCTCTCTTTGAGGGCAGAGCGTTAGGGCAACCTCCTGGAGCTGATGGGGAGAGATGACCCTGGGAAAGAAGAAAGGCTTATTGAAATGTATAGGGACCTGGGTCTTCCTATTTGCATAAAAGGAAGGAATGTGTGACCTCATTGTGGTCATTTCTCATAAGATACAGTCTACCTCCCACTCAGTTCTTCACTTTCTACTTAATACCACCACAAATAGCCTTTTATTTTGGGTGACAGCTCTGCTTCGTTCATCTTCTTCAACTCTTTCCTAAGGGCTGGGCCCTGCTGCCTCTTCTGGGTGTCTGTTTTGAAGTGACAACTGGCATTGTGGCCACTCCAGCTGAATGTGGACAGCATCTTCAAGCACCTGACTCAAAGCCTCCCTGGAGGGTTTAGAATTACTCTAGTGACTCTGCAGCCATTTCAGTTTTATAATTCTAATGGGCACCAACATGTTCTCCCACATCTGTCACCAATCCTACCCTGACGGCCACCCCTCAGCCAACTGACCCCTCTGCCTCTGGTCTCCCTCGACTCCTCGAGGGGGTGGACCAGTCCTCATCAGGCATGTGCAGTCTGCTACCTGGGCACTCACTATTGCTCCATCCAGCTTTTCTGAGGCTATGCCTCTGACCATCCCCTTCCCAGACCCCCAAATAGTGCAGTGGCACTTGTCCCAACACCCAGGGCCTGGCTGCCACACTCTCTCTAGAAGCTCTTGTCTTGTCTTCCACTGCCCTCTCCTCAAGACTGTCTGCAAGGAGGCAGGAGTGGGCCACCCTCTTTGTGTCAGGTTTGGGATAAGGGGCCCTGGGGCCACCAGTCTGATCTCAGCTTGGCTCTGTGCTCTTGCCACCCCCACACCCCCAAGCATCCAAGTCCTACCACCTGTGGGAACATTACCTTCCTGGCCCCACCCATGAGAATTGTGGCTCACCAGTGCTCAGTCGCTTCACTGTCCATGCTGAGACCCAGATCCTTTTGGCTATCAGAATCATTGTCATCTTGGTGGCTCCATCTTGTGGTTCATGAACCAAACGTAGACCTTTTAACTTCCCAGCTCCTTCGGAGCAGTGGGTACAGGTGTCTACTATCCAGGAGTGGGGGGCAGGCCCAGGTTGTGTGTCTGTCTGGGGGACTCATAGGCTCTGCCATGTGACCCGCAGCCCTGACTTTCCCGGGCCTGATTCCCCAGTGATTCCTGCCACCCACTGACCCTCACTACGGGAGTCCTGCAGGGGAGCCCCCGGCA